ATCCTGGCTCTCTTATCTAAACTCTATTGTTCCCGTCCACTTCACATCATCCTGTCAGTTCTCAGTCATCTCATCTTGTTTCTTGTCTATGCATTTTATCACGTATTTTTGTTTTGTCATCTCTTTTCTTTACTCATCCCCTCCTTCTCCCCTTTCAGGTTCAGGTTTTGCAGACTGTCTGTCTCAGCGTCGTCTGGCTCTGTCCCGGCTCTTCTCTGGGCCCGTTGATCCTCCTCTCTTTGAGGCCTCCTCTGATAGATCCCAGGCCTCCTGTCTCTCCCTCCTCCAGCCTCTCAGGGACCTCCTTCCAGTTGAGGCAGATCCAACCTTCTTCCTGACTCACCTGGTCGAAGTCCTCCAGGGTCTCTTCCCCTCAGTGGGCGGGGCTCTGCAGGCACTGGCTCGCTCCTCCCCCCGTCGCCTCCAGGAGGACCTGTTTGGAGGGAAGTTTCTGAAGAACGCTGCCTCCTTTAACCTGAGTGGGGCAGTGGGGGCTCAAGGAGCTCTGGGTCTGGACCGGCTCTCCTCTCAGAGTGTCACCATCAGCCTCCAGAGGTACCAGGACCTGGTCCAGTCTGTCAGCAGGGCTCTGGAGGACCCTGCCTTCCTCTCCGCCCTCCAGCACACACTGGTGGGGCTCAGTAGCTCGGCGTCACTGGGACAGGTCAGAAACAGCATGTCCTCCAGCACCAGAAAACAAACACGCACCTCACTGCTTTTTCATAATGTAGGATGCCTTTTCATTCACGGGTTCTGGTTGAGTTTATTGAGGCTTTTCATTTGCTCATATTTCAACTTCAGCTGTAGAGAACACTTTTGTCAGCCCCCTCTGTTGTTTCCAGGTCCTGATTCCTCTGCTGCGTTCCTGCTCCAGTGAGGACAAGGATGATGCAGCAGCCATCTTTGTTCCCAGCTGCACATCCAGTGGTGGTTTCCAGGAGGTTCAGTGTCAGAGTGGAGAGTGTTGGTGTGTCAACCCTCACGGTCAGGAGGTCTCAGGGTCGCGGGCTGTTGGCCGTCGGCCTCGCTGTCCATCCCACTGTGAGAGGGAGCGAGCGATGGCCCTGAAGGTGAAATCAAACATGGCTGCCGGTGCTGAAATCCACATCCCAGCATGTTCTGAGGATGGAGACTTCCTGCCTCTTCAATGTGTTGGATCACGCTGCTTCTGTGTGGATGCTGAGGGAAACACCATGACTGTTGGGCCAGTAGGGGGCGCAATCACCTGTAAGACATCACCAGTGATAAACAGGCTGCCACTGAGGTGTCAGTGCTGTGTGCATGAAACTGCTTAGTATTTAGGAAAATATAAGAGAATACTGTCTTTATTGTCAGAGTTCTGTTAGACTTTAGCACGGACATTTTGTCTGATGCGTTTCAGGTCCAGAGAGAACGACACTGAAGCCTCAGTCCTCTACAGGTCAGTCTGAAAGTAATGATTCAGCTTTAATGCCAAACTCACTCCTGCATAACACAGAAATGTTTTTACCTGATAAGTGCAAGACAACGCACTCTGGAAGGTTCTCTTTCCTGCTGCATGAATGCTTTTTAGTTTTGTCTACAAGAGAGAAAATGTTGTCCCCTGAATCCTGTGTAGCAGCGTGCTAACAAGGCTTTGATGCCAACTTGCAGGTCAGTGCTCTCAGGCATTAGCTGAGGTCACAGCCTTCAGACAGGAAGTGAGGAGCATCATCAGGCTCTCCAACTCCTCACACCTCCCTCTGGGGTACGGATTCCTATTGGCTGAGGGGCTGCATCTGACCCCCGAGGAGCTCCCAATCAGCCAATCAGAGGAGGAGCTGCGGATCTCTGACAGGCTGCTGAGCCGCTCCAAATCAGCTCTACGATTGGCTGCTTACTCTGGTGAGTCGCTGTCAGGAGATGAAAGTTACTGAATCCTCATGGAAGAAGTTCTGATTTAGAACAGTGATACTGCACTTAATGGCTGTTTTCATTATCAATTGATCTGCCACTTCTTGATTAATTGATTGTTTAGTTTGTACAACATCATGTCCCAAAGTGATGTCTTCAAGTAGATTTTTTTTTTATTTTTTTGTTCAAGCAACAGTCAAAAATATTCAGTTTACCTTGGTGTAGCACTGATGAAAGGATCTGATTCACATTTGAGAAGCTCAAAGCCAATTTCTTCAACATTGACTTAAATGGTTAATCAGTTGTACAAATACTTTAGATAAATAATACTTGGTATTTCTACTTGCGTTCAGGGACTGTTTGTGTAACTTTTTATTTGAAAGCAGTTTTATCATTAGACCAGCTTGTGATGAACTGACTTTCTCTGCCATTAGACACTACTAAAGTGTTCCAAAAAGACACAGGAGCATATGGACAGTGTGCGTTCTCCCCCAGCTGCGTTGAACTATAATTTCTAAACTGGGGTGGGGGGGTCAGGAGAGCTGAAGGAGGGTGTAGTACAGCTTGAAGACCTCACACAGGTGTTGAAAAAA